GCGCTATTTTTTATGTGGCTATTTGCTTTGGGTAAAGACTCTACCAGAATGTTCTGTATGTAAGAAGCGAGCATGTACAGAGGACTACCGATGGACGAGACTATGATTCTGAATGGAATATTTTCTTTATGAATTTTAGGAAGTGCATACGCCCTTGGTAACATCCCGTCGCTGTTATATAAAGTTTTGTATTTAGAGTCTGAAATATAATTATATCTCTTCCATCTCGAAAGCAATTCCTTAAGTGACACAATAAGTTTTTTGTGGGATCTTTTTTTATTACAGTGTAAGTGTTTTCGTCCCTAAGCATTAAATTTACTTTATTTATATAAGCATCCCTATCAAGCATGACTGTAACACTCTCCTTATCCGCATGGGTGTATATGACGTTGGGATGAGACGACATAAACTTTTTTGTGTCACTTTCTAGCTCCAACAAATTCTCCTCCATGGCAGATAGATGTATCTTACTCGAAGCGATACTGTTTAAAATCGGTAACGAGTGATTCGTGATATCTATCCTCTTATCTAAAGGCATTCTCCGAGTACTATATTCTATGTTCTTAATGCAAGAACATAGCTGTGATGCTTCCTACGTGGGGCAAACGGGAAGAAGATTAAAAACGAGAATCACGGAACATCGCAATCATATACGGTGGAATACCAGCTCGAGATCCGTGATCACGGAACATAGATTGCAATTGGGACATGATTTCAACTGGAACGATATTCAAATCTTGGACGAGGAACCTTGTTATAATAAACGCTTGGTTTCGGAAATGTTGAACATCAAAAAACAAAACAACAGTCTTTATTTACAGACAGACACAGAGGGTCTTCATAAGTCACATATACCGATCATAAACAAGGTCTGACATTGCATTACCAGTAGACTCGCATTACAGTTTCGCACGTCGTGTGGATATGTCGTTTATTCCGATTATATTCTCAGACAAGATACACTTATAATGTGATCAATTGTATAAGTTTTTATAATCGACATCATCGTTGTGATGTGATATTTTTTATTTTATCATCATTGATTCCAAAACTTGACGAACATTTCACCTACATGGATTTTTTGATAATTTTCACAGAGAGGTGAGTGTTTTAACAGAGAGACGACTTTTCTGGTCTTGATTACGATTTTATTAGAAACATTTTTTTTGCTTTCTATCTTTAGAACTACGGTGATCTTTCTCAAACGATCTTCCAATCGCTTGATGGGTTCTGTCGTCCCTCTGAAAAAATACTTCTTTTATTATTTCTTTTATTATTATGGAAAACAATCATAGACATACCTCAGTTTGCGAATTTTTACTTGTTTTTTCGATTAATTTATTTTGTGTATTACGCTCACATCTGAGGAGGGCTCAAATTGGAAGCCGAAACTAGTAATGTTTTCGACGAGATCAAATTATTGTACTTAATATCTATATGTTTAAATTGCTTTTATAATCTATGTTTTATTATTGATTATTTTTAATTTTAAATACATGTAAAAAATGATATGATCTATTGAACTTCTTCACAATTTGACTCTTGAAGGCCTTATTTTTCGTTTTTGTATTTTGAATTATAATTGTTTAAGAATAGTGTGTAATTCGAAAATTCTTATAGTCTCGAGACTGTCGTATTAGGATTTTCGTTTTAGAATGTTCAAAAAATCGAGAAATAATAATAGAGGCTATAAAACTAAAATGGTTTTTGACTTACAAGTATTTAAAGTTAGCTTATAATTGAAAAAATTATTGTCGATATTTTCGCATTAGCATTTTGTCTCAAAATTACCTCAAGAATATGCCCTTAAGAAGAAATGCGATAGTTGTGAGACACCCTGTTTATTTTACACTTTGTGCAGGTGCGCCTATTTTGTATATATTCGTAATTGGTAAAATGGAAATATTAAGAAACTCCACGCAATCTATTTCATTTTTTTGCAATATTCAGAGAATTTTTTTAATCCAAATATTTCAAAAAATTATGATAGTCGAGTATAAAGTTTGAAAAATCTTGTCGCGCTGCGGCGATGACATATGTTTCAACGAACATTATAATTTTTAAATTAATGGAAATAATTAATTAACAATCATATAACGTGTAATTGACGTATGTTTTATATGCGCAGTCCATTACTCAAAAGCCAAAATCTTTTTAATATCTCCGTAACAATTTGTAAAATCTTGCGCCGTAATATGTATTATATATTACAATTCTCCTAATACCTACAATGTTGCAGCGATATTACAGCGCAATCTGCAGTATCGCAACGTTTCTGCAATGTTACTGCAAGTTTCATATACCTACATATTATACATATTTGTATATACAGGATGTCTTCAAATTCGTGCTCTATTTCTTTTTGCAAAGGAAATGTTGCGTCCGACAAGTGGTTTTTGCAGGACAGCAGGTTGAAGTCATAAGAGTAAATGCAAAAAATTATCTATCGAATGTAATTTTACTACAGGAAAAAGTTGTTCATTAGCATAAAAAACAACTTTTTCCTTTAACAAAATTGCATCCGGTAAGTAGTTTTTGTAAGAGAACAGGTTGAATTAACAAATAAACATAAAAATTATTTATCGGACGCAATTTTGTTAAAGGAAAAAGTTGTTTGTTTTAGCATAAAGTTTCACGTCTTGTATTTCGTGGGCGCGAATTTGAAAACATCCTGCATAAGTGTTAAAAGCTTAGTAGCGCGCGCGAAGCGCGCCTGTTATGTTCTAGTATTTATAAAAAAATATTATGTTTTTTATTATTAATATAAATGATGTTCTAGAAATTTTATCTTATTAAATATAATACTTACATTTAACGCATAAAAAAATACTCCCTCTTTCCGCCTCCAGATCATCTTTTTTTTTTAATTATACGTAGTACTCTTTTCTTTTAATTCAGGTATGCAATGTGGTAACTCTAATCACGATCCATTTTGAAAATTCTTGCTCTAATGCATGGCATTGCTTTCTTCTTGGAGAAAAAATGTGATTGATGTCCCTTTTTACTAATATAGATTCACTTTATAATCTTGATTTAACTTACTTTTTATATTACCTTTTTTCAGAATTTCTAAGAATTAGAAAAGAATAAAGAGTAAATCAAATCGATATTAAAGGGTGCGTTTCGAATTACACATGAAGCGCATGAGTTATAATATCATTTTATCTTTCTTTATTCTTCGATGAATAACAAGAACAAATGATGCATATCATGTGCTTTGTGCGTAATTTGGAACGCATTTATAATTAATCTATTAGTATAAATGGACATGAAAACGTTATTTGGCGATTTTTCTTCTTTACATGTCATGTGGTCAAAACGTGAACGTTAATCAACCACAGGAATCAGCAAACACTCGAGATCAAAATATCAGACTGTATACGGCTATACTCAGAAACAAATTTTATTGATATCATTATTCTAATCAAATTTTTGGTTTAGGACAACAAAAAGGTTGAGGTTGGTCACATATCAACAAAACTTTTTTCTGAGTGTAATTCGAGACTTGACTGTGAGCACGACACGAGACTCAGGGCCATAGCAAAAAACTTAAGGCAGTAAGATTAACCAGTAAAGAAATCAATATGTTGGATTGGCTACTACTTATGTTATGGCCTTACGGACTCTACTGTGATTGATTAATTTACTTACTGTTTACGTTTTATTGCTTAATTTTTTGTGTGTGCCATTGCCCTCATGATTACGTTTACACGGTCACTCTTATTCGGATTTAATTACATCCGTAGTTAGAAATTATTCAATCACAGTCGTTCTATTCTTCAAAGGAATATATGATTGACCAGTTTCATAACTTAAACCCGATTATGGGTGCCATGTAAACGTGGGGTCTATCAGTGTGAGTACGTAATGTGAGAGGGATGGGGAGGGGGAAGCGAGAGGGGGCCATGAAACGGAGATATCCTAACAAGCAAGTTGCCGATAATTTCTGTGCATTCTGGCGAAAAAGCACGGCGCGCTTATATAGGTATACGTAACGTTCGAATTAGTTTAAGAATATACAGTCGTTTGTTTTCTCACGATTGTAGGAAACGAGATCGTTCTTAAAAACAATGTCATTCAATCATAAAGTTGTTGCAACAGCAATAATAACGACGAGAGAGAGAGGCTGATTGGTGAATATCGCATCTTGATTTACGAGTTATCATTATCACGCTGACATCCGAAAGAGAAAAGAGGATTCACGGTGATTCATGGAGCGGAAGGATGCAAACGAAAATTCGGAAGTGGACACTAACGAAGATACAGAGGATACGGCGATCACGAGCGAGCGGGGCACGCCGGAAGGATTTGATTCTCTCGAAGATTCGGCTACGTCGTTGGAGATGGAACAGTCGGAGACCGGTCGGAGAACGAGTATCTTCAAATTCTACTCGTACAAGAACGCAGGTGAGTGTGACTATAGGTGCGTTCCGTATCGCGCATGATGCGCATGATGCATCCATTGTCCTTGTTTAACATTTGGTGAGCAACGAGGATAAACGATGCATTATGCGCATCATGCGAGAAACGGAACGCACCCTATATATAAGTTGTGCTGTCTGCAGTGCGTAGAGAGCGATAAACCGAATTCGTGCCGATAGACATTTAGGTATTCGATTTAAACATCACATTGACAATGCAAAATCATATCACTTTTATTTTGTTGTTCGAAAATAAATCAACTATTGTATGACTCCTTCTCTCCCCCTCTCTCTTTCCCTTCCCCTCTTCCCTCTCTCTCAACTGAGAATCTCATTCCTCGAAAGTAATTTCGAAATCGTTATTTTCGATTTTGAAATGACAATCGGCGACGTTCATTCACTCTTAAAAATCGGTGTGGATTTTACACATGCGGTGTTTATCAGTTATATGTATAATATTCACCGTATTAGTTTCAATATTAACATCAACATGATGAGGATTTACCACTACGGATTTTAAAATCTATCATGGCATTGATATAAATATCAGGAGTTTTAAATCGTATCATGGCGATGTTAATATTAAGGGCAATAGCACTTTTTTAAATTTCCTAGATGGATATCTGGACCCAATAAGCACAGTATTTTGCATAATATATGGTATAATGCAAAAGCAAATTAACCAATCAAAGTCCTTCATTTTCTTCCTTTCCACGAAATAAAAGACTGATTGGTTGTTTTCTTATGCCATACAAGAATTTATGCTTTTGCCTTAATGGGTTTTCTATAATAAGCCATACTTAAGTTTTAAGACTTAAATCCCATAAGAAATAAACTAATCACAGTCGATTGTGAGAAGAATAATCGACTATGTTTCGTAATTTCTTACAGCTTAAGCCTAGTATTACATTTATCGTGCGACAAAACATTTCAAGCCTAACCTTAAACTTATAGTTATAATGACTTATTGAAATCTCATAATACTAATAAGAGAATTCTATACTGATAGACACTGCACGGTTGAATTCATATCGATATTTTTGAGAGTGTTGGATCGCGAAGAAACGCGTGTCGATTTATAAAATGTAAAGTCAATCGGACTTTACATTTTATACATGTGTATATGTTATAGGTGTGCGCTGTACCACATTCTAGACTTTAGACGTCTCGTCGGGTTGATGAGAATCAAATGTAGATAAGGATAACATGACATAGCTGCTATTGGGTGGCATCCAGTTGGACATAGGTCAATTGGACACGAGCCACTCACAGCGCTTGAGACTACAAAGCCCCTAGGCACTGGTCGCGTGATTGGTGGTGTCCAATCGAGCCGTGATCAATCGGGATCACCCCGCTGCTATTGACGTTCACGGAATTCGATTAGAATTTTTAATGTTGCAATTTCGTGTGAATTAAATAAAAAATCCGTATTCTCACTTATGCATTGACATCTGAGATTATGGATGCGGTCCATTTGGTGCTACAAATGCTTCGGAAGCATTTGACTGACCAGTCAGAAGAAAGAATTTCACTAATTGACCAATAAAAAAAATGTTTCGAAACATTTGTAGTATCAAGTGGACCGTAGCCTATGAACGTAATAAGTACGAATAAAATAATTAGGAACGTTTTGCCATTCACTTGTGTAGTTATTCATTAACTTGTGGATCGTGACTAACATAATACTAACATAATACGACAGATCCGTCATTGATTACTATGATAACGTCAATACAGTCGGCCTAGAATCCCTAGAAAAACAGAGTTTGGCCACGCCCTCAAAGTGTCAGATAAAAGTAGTAGGGATATGTTCTTAGTGCTTGCACTTTACACTTTCATACTTAGAAGTTAGTTCACAACGAGTGTGAATCGAGACGAACGTGTTTGGGCTATGGCAGAGAACGAGACATAACTTTCGTAGTCATAACGTACACTGTTAGAAATTTCTCAATGAATTTTAATTAACATGTAAAGGAAGCATGTGGTTATGCACGAAATTAAATGTAATGAATGATGTAAATAAAAACTAAATTACAGTAGTCTTAAATGTGATGAACGTGTGTATTGAAATTAATGAACACATTATTATAGAAATTAATTTACACGTTAATGAAAAGTACGAGATCTGTAACTGAAAAGTAATTTACGTTAATGACATGTAAGAAACGTAAACGTATTAAATGTTAAGCGTTAATAGTATTAGGCTTAATTAAAATATTATTAATATTCGTAAATGTAAAAGTACATTAAATTTCAATACGCTTAACTTTTAAGTTAAGCGTATTGAAATTTAATATACTGCAAACTGAAATTTCATTAATATGTACATTAATAGTTATTTAAATTACGATTAATTAAATGTCATTTATATCCGTAAATGAAAAGTATATTAAATTTCATTACACTTAATTTTTCAGTTACTGTAAACTTAAATCTCATTAACATGTGCATTAATAGTCCTTTCAGTTACAGAGAAATTAAATTTCATTCACCAATGTACATTAAAGGTTAATGAAATTTAAGAACATTTCTAACAGTGTAAGGTAAAGAAACAAAAGATTAGTTTAAGAACATTCTAACAGTGTAAGGTACAGAGAAAAACGTAGCTGTCATAATCGTGACTGGTCGCCGACCAAATTGTCATTACTAAGTGGGGAAAAATAATACAATAAATAAAAGGAGACAGAAAGTCAAACAGTTATACTAACAAAGTATGCGCATTAACTGTAAAACTTGGAAAAATTGTTCTTCTTAAAATAAATCATGATATAAAGAATCCAATATTTCAGTGACTTCTTGTAAATTCAAACCATTCTTTTGTTTCTTAATGTAAATAGACTCTGAGATTAAACGCTTATTATAATTCTTTTCTTCATCTAAAATCTTGACATTGTTCCAATCAAAATCATGATTATATTCTAGTCTATGTTCCGTAATAACCGAGGGTTGATTGGTATGTCTGTGATGTGATTACGATTCTGACACTCTAGTTTAATAATCTTTTCGTTTGGCCCGCATTTGAAGCGTTACAATCCGAAGAATTAATTTTATATATTACATTAGAATGTAAAAAAGAATGTAATTCGTCCTTTTGAATTTTAATAAAAGAACTCAATTTATGTAATCCCACGTAGGCCAAACTAACGGTTTTGTTATTTTTGAAAAATCTTTTGAATTTTTCTGATATTGACGAAACATAGGAAACAGTAAAGGTTATTTCAAAGACTTAGTTGTAGATCTGGAATTTTTATTGTTATTAATTTCGTTATTGTTAAGTTGTTTAAATTTTACGTAAAGTCTTTTTTTGATGTTATTAAATGTTGTATTGAGAGGGTATCCGTTATTCAATAAATTGTCTATAGGTCAGGCGCCAAGTATTTCGAAGTAGAAGTAATTCAAATTAAAGTTTTTTATTCATAAATTAGTTATTTTAGGTGTCATTAAGAAATTCTGAAGTTTACCCCCCAACGATAACCGCGTTCCCCTCTCCGAGGGGAAAGAAAGAATGAAAAATCAGCTTTTTGCTGATTTACAGGTTTTTCTTCAATTTTACGGAAAAAAACGGTTCTGTACAAAATTAAAGCTTATAAAATTCTCTACAAAAAAGGTTTTATACATATTTTTCGTCAGGTAAATATTTCTTCAAGTAACGGCCTTCTAAAGTTGGGTTAAATAACTTGACCATTAAATTCTCCAAATATTCATTATATTATGTGACTGTCCCTTCGCGCGAAGCAGGTATGTCGCTAGTCTATTTATTCTTTCGGCAATGTGTTAGTGACTGTTTATGTACATATCAGGAGCCAATATCTGTTTTTTATGATGATATTAGGGAAGGAAAGAAGGGATTTCAATATTATAAGTTAGCAAACACAAGTTTGGCTGCAACAGTCTATCTGTTAAGAAGGTGTGTTTTTAGTTACAATGATGACGGGAAATATACGTTTCATTTGTGAAGAAAATTTAAGTGAAGGTGAAACTCAAAATTAAAGATAGAGGAATAAACAGCCTTGAAGAATCAAGTAGACGGAGGAAAGACAATAAAAGTGTTCAGCTCCAAAATTTTAATTGTGTAACTGTTCACTCGAAGTGTTATAAAACTTACACAAGAGAAAAGTGTATAGTTGCTGCAGAGAAGTCACGAACAGGTAAGATAATTATTGATAACATAAAAATATATTTTTAGGTTTAATAAATTTCTCATAGATTTTGATATTATATTAAATTTAAATATAATTATATAATAATCACAGATGATTACTCATCTCATGTACTCACTTCGTTTTTGTGTATTTAAATTTCGTAGAATAGTATCTCATTACATACAATGGAAAGAAGTATGTTTATATTCGCTAATGGATTGAAAATACGCTTTGTGATCAATTTTTATTGACAGTTTTTATTGATACGATACTCTAATTCTTATTTTGTAACTGTAAATAATTAAGAAGTTGAAAAAGATTTTGGGAGTATATTATGTTATAATAAGTATATTATGTTTTGATACATTATTGATATCCTTGTTTCATGGAAGCGAACGGCTCGAACTTTTGCGTTGCGTGCAGCGTAATCGGATCGACATATAAATCATTATTACTTTACAACCATAATATTTAAAGAGCTAAAAATTTCCAAAAAACTTCCTTAACTAATAAACAAAATTGTAGTATCGGTAAAAGTTGATAAATCGAAAATTCGTACGATAACTTTTGTGATCGAATAAATAAAACTACGAATTCGAGAGAATATTTTGAAAAATTCGGCATTTGGCTGTGAAATGTTTCGAAAACTTTTTATATTTCGAGAAACATGTTGAAGTTTATCCTGTTAAAATTTCAAAGAAAAATATTTATATTTGGCTGAGATATGACGAGTTGAACACAAAAACCCATTGAAATTTTTTCATTAAAAAAATTACTTTTTTTGTTTATAACTTGAAAACAAAAAAAATTCCAAATTTGGTTTAATGACAAAAAAGATGCGCTA